AAAATCTTCGGTTACATAATTAAAGGTGAGCTTGCCAAAAAAACAAAACGACCAAAATATTTAGCAACGACTGCAGAGTTGTGCTTTTCTCCGTTTCTTGCTGCAGTCTCTTAGCAACAATACACGGTAAGTTCATCTGCTGCCAAAAGAAATGCTCGTTCAGCAGCTTGAAGCTCGTTCAGTTCACCTCAGGGAACTTTTACTGAAACAACCACATTCTTTCCTGAAAATGGTGTTTACTTACTAACCACAAAAGTAATATTTTTTTGTGTGTTCTTGCCATAAATGAAACAAAATCAGTAACAGTTTATCTCGAACTATGCAGATTTTTGGTTTTAGTTTTTACAATAACGTACCAAAGAAAATTCTAGTTGACATCCTCATCTTTGTGCTCAGTTCGTTCCTCCAGCTACGCCTTGATAGGACATTTTAATAAATAAAAAGAAAATGAAAACTCCACGGATTAAAACAGAAACAGTATTTTGAAACGTGGCTCATAATGGCACAACTCAACAATATTACAGGTTCGTGTATGTTAGATTTGCTCTCCACAAATATGAGTTCATCCTGATTTGTGAAAAAAGTTAAAAAAAATTCTCCTCTTTCATGGTTTTCAAAGATAAAGAAATTCTAATTTGATTTGATGCCATATTTTTCATTGAAATGATTTGTTTACACCAAACACTAGTGATTTTAAAGTACCCAGTTTATATATATATATATATATATATATATATATATATATATATATATATAAGACCATAAAATTCAAATAGAAAAAATGTAAATCATGCTAAAAGTGACTCGTTTCTCTCCGATCAAGTGGAGAAAGGACCTCACGCAGTGCTTAAAGTAGAGATGAATGCTTCACAGCGTTAAAGACTGGTTTTATTTAGGATTTTTATAAAGCTACGACCTGCTGGTTCCAACTTCCTCCAAGTCCAACTGGACTTATAATTAACACTGCATTATTTTCTAACATCAGGTGAATTTAAAAATTGATTGTGTGTTCATAATTACAAGTTTACAACTAACAATGGTAATGCTGGTGCTAAAAATGAAATATCACACAATTGTAAGTGAAATACCTGTAGTCAAGTGAAATTTCTGATTTTTTTTTTTTTGTTCTACTTGTCAGGATGCATTTTTTATTTGTTTGTGTACTCTCCCTGCCTTTATTCCCTTCTCCTCTGTTAGTTATTGCCCCTCAGTCACACCTGTTCCTGGTTTCATTAGTCACAGCTGCAGCCACTCTTCCCATCAGCCCATTTAATCCTTCTCGCAGCTCACTTTAAGCACATTTGGTTTTAATGCCACGCCTGATCATCTTCGTGTCTCCACGTGCCTCGTCTCAGGTTTTGTAAATTTGCTGTCCTTTGTTTTTGGTCAAAATAAAGTTTAGCTCTATTTATAATACAACTTGAGTCAATTTGCATCTCTGGGTCCAAACCACCTCCTGCTAACCGAGATGCTACCATGCAAAACTTTTATCCCATCTAAGCTCCTCAGTTCTCATATCTGCTAACACAGAAGGAATGACAAACCTAGCTAACCAAAAATATAAAAAAAATAAAATACAACGGCAGCATGCCAACCAGAGAAACAAAATATAGCAGAGTGTTTTGCTAATAGCAAAAACTCAGTTCTTAATTTTTTGGCCTGGACAAGTCTTTCAAGGGCCCGTTTCTGCTGCTTGGCCTCGTTTGTGCCACACTCTCTTGCTCCACCACTTCTGCCCTATTAATTTCCCTAATGATCAGCCAGAGCAGACATTTTGATCACTTAAACGAAACACCGGTGCATCGTGTTACATTGGCATTAACTTTACGTGTTAATGGGGTGCCGTTTGTAAAGTTACTCAGTCAAAAATTAACAGCTTTATTTTGCCTTTCATAAGAAAAAAAATATTTTTTTTTCAAAGTCATATTTTCATCATGTTATTCATACATTTATAAATGTTCTAGTTCCAAACTAAATATTTAATTTACAAGCTAAATATTATTTACAAACTAAATACTTAACTTGCAAGTTAAATATCTAGTTTGCTAACTAGATTTCGTTCCACACTAAATATTTAGTTTACAAACTAAATGTTTTATGTCCAAGCTAAATGTTTAATTTAAAAACAAAATATTTAACTTGCAAGTGAAATAAACTAAATATTAAGGTGTAAATTAAATATTTAATGTCCAAGCTAAATATTTATTTTCAAAACTAAACATTTAATTTCCAAACTAAATGTTTATTGTCCAATCTAAATATTTAATTTCCAAACTAAACATTTAATTTCTAAGCTAAACATTTAATTCCTAAACTAAATATTTAATTTGCTAACTAAATATTTAGCTCAGACCTAAATATTTATTTTCCAAGCTAATCATTTAATTTCCAAAATAAATATTTAATTTTCTAACTAAATATTTAGCTCAGACCTAAATATTTACCTTGCTAGCTAAATATTTAATTTGCAAGTTAAATATTTAGTTTGTAAATTGAACATTTATCTTGGACATAAACATTTAGTTTCTAAATTAAATATTTAATGTGGCGCTAAATATTTAACTTGCAAGTAAAGTATTTAGTTTGTAAACTATTTAGCTTGCAAGTTAAGTATTTAGTTTGTAAACTAACTATTTAGCTTGTAAATTAAATATTTAGTTTGGAACTATGACATTTATATTTGTATGAATAACAAGGTGAAAATACAACTTTGAAAAAAAATCTAATGTTTTTTTTTTCGAATGAAAAGCTAAATAAACCAAAATTTTGCTGTTAATTTTTGACTGTAACTTTACAAACGGCACCCCATACTAGTTTTTATTTCTCTCATCTTGACACATTATTATCAGACAGCAATACAGATGCATTCCCAAAATTATTTGCATTGAACCGAGTGACATTGTAGGCTAATGTTAACACACAATTCACTGATATTAGCTGACATCGTAGCTAGCATTACATGCTGACAAGCTTTCCATTACACATAACGTTATGTTGATAAAAGTAACGGATTACGACTCATAACGTTGCTAAAGTAGGATAACAGTAGTCCCTCGGTACCTCGCGGTTCAACTTTTGGGAATTCACTGTTTTGCGGGTTTTCAGCATAAGATTTTACATTACACACGATTGGCTGATTGATGGAAGGCGACCAAGCAGAGCATTGTGCTCTGTATCCCATGTGCTGATTGGCTCCGTAACCGTAACATCAGTCTGTCTGCTCTCTTTCGCTGTGCTCTTTTAGAGCGTTTAGAGAGTTTAGAACATTGTTAATAACATTGCAAGAGTGTGGGAAGGGTTTATAAAGCCTTCAAATATATATAAATACTAAAATACATACAACGTCCCTACTTCATGTATTTTCACCTATCGCGGGGGTGTCTGGAATGTAACCCCCTCGACAAGTGAGGGACTACTATATTTTTTTTTGCCAAATCAAATTTAACTTACACAACATATTATATTGTTGGCAGATAACAAAACTTTCCTCAAAACTAACAGTGTCCAACATTAGAAGTGACTAGTTATAACGTAGACCAGTTTCATTCGTCCAGGGGAAAGATTTCCCTATCGTCTAACTTTGTGATTGGCCAAATGACTCGCGTTCTACCAAAGATGTTCTATTATACCTTGTTGTTTCTTTTTTTTGTTTTTCTCTCTCTCCCTTGTCCTGTCTGGCATTGTGACACTTAGAATTATTGTCTGAGTGTCAAAGTGATGCCCAACAGATTTACTTTCACAAGCAGAGCATTACGGCTGGCCTTAATGCTCTGCTTGATATATAAATTAAATTGTATTAGAATTTGCTTTGGGCTTGTTTCTGATGTAATGGACATGGGGATGAAAAACAAAGAAGATAACAAGGAAGGCCGGCCCAGCGCACCAATGCATCCCTACAGCCCCACACCACAGGCCCGGAGAGGCCCCAGCATGCCACCCATGAACACCCCCCCCCCCCACACACACACACACACACACACACAGCACCCCCACCGCAAATGTCACATCAGGCCGACCAGCCAGCAGCCCATCAAAGTGAAGCCATGCCCCCGACCGCCGCCATGCACCACCAACGACCACACACACACGCAACCACAGCCGACCCCTCGCCAGAACCCGGCAGCCACCCCAGCCAAAGGGCCGGCCACCGCAACCAGGAACCCTGATCAAAAGATCCAAACAACCCAGGGAGAACCGGAGCACCGGCCCCACTCCCAATCGCCCCCCAAGGCCCAATACCCACCCAGAGCCCAGACCTTGTTGTTTCTTGAAGTCCAGTCAATGGGACATTATGCTATCTACCATGCCTTTGACGACCCCCCCCCCACCCCCCCAAAAAAAAAAAAACCCTCCTCGGATTTAGATGATTCACGTAACTGACAAATGTTGTTTGAAATTGGCAAATTTTGCAGAAAAACAACCAGTTTGCAGGTTCTGTACACAACTTATTTTACTTTAACAAAATGTTTGTGCAGTTGTACTTTTTCACGCTTGTTGTATTTGTTTTAATTTTAATGTTATTCTGCATATCTTTTTTTTTTTTTCTCTCTCTCTCTCTCTGTCCTCCGGTGAAACCAGACGTGTCTCCCTTGAAATGAGAAAAGTTGTCCAGTTCTGAAAAACATTCTTCGAAGAAAAAGAAATGAGAGATTAACAGAATTTTGATCATTGTCTATGTTGGGTTCACTGACTGGGGAATAAAAATCACTTGTTTGAGTCTCTCAGTTGCTGGTCTTTGGTGAAAATTAGCCAGTTTTAGTCACCGGCTGATAAACTGAAGCATCCTCAAGTAAAAAACAAACATCTTCACTCGTTCCACTGCCAACTCTAACTGCTAACGTGGACTTAAAAACTCTTGGTGTCAAGCATTACCAGACCCTCTGTCACTGCAACAGGTTTTTCTTCCTGTTAGCTAATCACCAACATAAACCTGGAAATATCACTTGGCACAAAGATGAAATGTCCCCAGAAGATAAATAAACCTAATCAGAGAAACTCACCTGGTCTTCAAAGGACAGGGCCTGTCCAACGTCTCGAGGGAACCCATCTATGACAATACCGTTAGCATCTGGGATCTTCATGATCTTCTGTTTTATCTCAGTTATTGTCGTCTCCTGGAAAACAGAGAGGAAAGCAACATGAATCATTATTAGTTTCACGCACAAGCCACGCTCTAAAGGCCAAAAAAAGCAATGGAACAATATTATACGCTGCCAGAACAAGCAGCTGCTGTAATTGCGGGGAGGTCATTAGGTTTTTGATCAATACAAATAAGAGTTGGGGGGGGGGGGGGGGGGGGTGTTTCTCCTGGAGGAGAGAAAAATCTTTGTAATAGCTCATAAAGCAGACATCACCAAACGAACTACGTGTTTGCTAATTATTGATCGAAGGAGGACAATAATGATTTTGCCCATGTCAGTGCATCTTTGCTTGTTCTGTTAGCAAAATACCTCATGAGTCACCGATTAGATTTTAATGAAACTCTAAGAAAGTAATTATTGTGTTGACAGCAAATTAACTTTTGGAGTCAATCCAGTTCAAGATGGCCAAAAAGAACAAAACCATCTTATAAAACACAAAACGGCTCTAACTCTGTCAGTTTTACAGAAACGGAGATAAAATTTTGTGGGACAGTCGCTGAGAATCATCCCCGAGTTATCCAACAATGCTCGGTCAGGTCCTCTGGACGGTTTCTTTTTTGTTGTAGTTGAGACGTTTCATCCTTTATCCAAAGGACTTCATCAGTCCGAGGAGCCAAACTCAGTCCCACAAGCAGCGCACTCACATAGTGGACCAACCAATTTGTTGGTGATAAGATGGGGGAGACGGGGGAGAGGGCGGGCCCCAGAAACCATCTTATCAAAAGGCAAACTGGTTGGCCCACTATGTGAGTGTGCTGCTTGTGGGGCTGTTTGTTTTGGCTCGTCGGACTGATGAAGTCCTTTGGATGAAGGACAAAATTTCTCAAAAAAAAAAAAAAAGAAGAAGAAATCGTCCAGATTACCTGACTGAACTTTGTTGGATTTTTTTACCTGGATTATTGAGCACGAACGTTGATCCCCAACATATATATTTGTTATAACTGGTAGTGTGAGATCTGTTTTAAACGGTGGCATTATCTCTAAAGTCAGCTGTCTGTCTGTTAGCAAAATATCTAACAAAACACTGGGTATCCTGATGCATGCTCAATAATCCAGGTAAAAAAAATCTAAAAAATTTAAGTCTGGTCCTCTGGATGGGTTCAAAAAACAAAAAATTGTAGAAACGTTTCGTGTTAGACTGAAAAAGTATTTCGGATAAAATCCGAAATGTTTTTACAATTTTTTGTTTTTTGAACTCATCCAGAGGACCAGACTTAAATTTTTTAGAAAACACTGGGTAGATTTTCATATAACTTCCAGGAGTAAATAACTGCAAATCATTAATCATCATTAACTATCATTAATTATGGTTCAGAGCTAAACCAATTTAACAAGGCTGCCACGACCAGCTGATATAGACGTACAGAAAAAAGATATGTTGCAGTTTAGTCAATTTTACAGACGTTGAGCTACAAAGTATAATTGCATGTCATTTATAACATACTCTGAGCCAAACATCTCACAACATTGAATGAGATTGTTCAGATTGGCTACAACTCCATCATTTCTTAATATGAGATGATCTCAGTCTAAAACTCCGGCATGGTAAGTGCACGGAGACATGCATGTAGGCTTTAATTTAAAGAAGTTTAAAGCAGTTGTTTAGGTCAGTTCCTCACGTCTTCATCTGATGATTAATTTTTGTAACAGCAGCAGAGTGCAAAGCTCCTGGAGCCAGAAAACGCCAACTTCTCTTAGCTTCACTTCCTCTTAGCTTGACGAGGTCAACATGTTTGAACGCATTTCTGCAGGCTGACTGCAGCTCACAATCTGGCCGCGATAAATGAGCAATGCTCTGATGTAAAAATAACACAACTTACACAGTGATTTAATTTTTGTTCAATATCAAAATGCAGTCAGGGGTCTAGGGAATAAATCTAATATAGAGTCCATATAATGGATTAAATCGAAAGGGGAAATCTAAGAAAAGCTTTATATTTAGTCTGTGGAACTCACAGGAATGCAAGGCATGGAACAATCTTTGTTTTTACTCTTGCAGAGAAAAGCCACCCATGAAAACAAAGAGTTTACTCATTCATTACACAAAACAGACGTGTGGAGGCTTCCCATGCAGAGTGCTTTGCACTGTTTGCTTTGTGTCATCGCTAACTAGCCATGATTGTAATTTTCACATCGATCAGATGTGACACTGCATTATGCCGCTATCTGTAGGAAGTAATAAGATGAAAAGCCTTTCTTATCGTCGTTGTTCCGTTTGGTGGGAGCTTTAGCTTGTGCTTGCCAAGTAGGAAAGTGCAATGTATCAAACAGAAAAGGGTCTAACACTAGGATTAATCACCCCGCTGAACGAAGACTGAAAGCTTTTTACAGCAGGATTTATGTTCAGATTACTTTAACAGTCTGGATGTCTTCATTGTACACTCATATATTGATATGAAATTTTGAAATGTGGGTCCACACTCCATGTAGATGATGCAGAATCCATGAAAATCAGATGGAAGCTTCTTTTTTCTTGCGTATGTACACAAGACAACAGCGACTGGGACACATTACCTATGTTTATAGTCTAAAAGTAAAAAAAAATTTGTAAGCTGCAAATCTGAACACGAGCAAAATGTTGAATGCAGTCACATTCCCAGCTCACCCCAAACTGACTCTTGATCAGGAAACGTTTGAGTAACTTTCCGACACAATAAATGATAAATGTCAGTCGTTCTTCTGAGGCAAAATGTAACACAATGGCTATAATAACAGTAAATGTCGACAGGAAAGGTCACTCTATGGTGCTCTTTCTAAACAATATGGAATGTGTCTGAAGAGAAGGGGAAGCTGGGACAAGAGGTCAAGTCAGATCTCGATACTGCTGTTTTTTTGTCCCCATCGCAGAACCAAGAGGGGAATTGGAAATACCCTCCGTCCGTCTTGTGAGTTGGATAACTTGCAAAAAAAAAAAGCAACAAGCTGACTTTCATTTTGGTGTGTGGCTGCATCTAGGCGTAAGAAAGCTCACTATCGAAAATCAAAAATTGGGTTGCCATGTTAAAATCCAAGATGGCAGCTGCCATATTTTTTCCTGCTTGCTCTCAATGAGGACGAATGCTTTTTCCTCCCGCTCTGCCTCCCTCCTGTTTTGCTTTTTGTCCTGTGATTCCTATCGGAGCCTCTCGTTACACATCTTCCAAATTGTAAATTATGGCTCTGGTCAACTGGTCTCTCAACGCAATTGATAAAATTTTCTATTTCTATAAAATAAAAAATAAATGAATAAATGCATTATGGCAAAGACTGGTTCATCCCAAAGATCCAGTCTCCCGTCGCAAACAGAGTAATATTGTGTATGCTGTTCAGTGTCAGGAGGGTGATCAGTCTTACATTGTTCCTCTCTGTCACATCCTGGACAGAGAGGAACGATGGTTTGAGAGAGGAGTAAAGGAGGCCATCTTTGTGAAAAGAAATCGTCCATCGTTAAACAGGGGTGGAGGCCTCCGGGTTCAACTGTCCCCCTCTTACAATGCTGTGATTGCTAGTATCACTCAGCCCTCTGTGAATAGTAAACAGCCATCAGTGTGCTAATGACCCATTGTTAGGCTGATGGTCCTTCTTGAGCATGTGATCAGCTGGTTTTTGGTTGTCAGCAGCAAAACTGGTTGATCCACTCTGAGAAGGTGCTGTTTATAAGACTGAGCTGAATACAGCACCTCAGACTGAGGAAGTCTTTCCGATGAAAGACGAAACGTTTCTACATTTTTGTTGCTGTTGTTGTTTTGCTTTGTTTTGTTTTTTTGAAAGTCCAGAGGACCAGATTTAACTTTTTTAGAAGTCTTAAAAAGGTGTAAAAACTTTATTTTTCTCAAATTTATTTGAAAAGTTTCACACAGTGATGCTAAATGCAAAGTAATATATCACAATGTGGCTTGAAATATTAATATACATCATAAATATGTTTTAAAAATAGAGAAAACTGCTTTGTCACCCTTTAAGTAGATAATGTAACACTAACTAAAACCATCCTCTTGTGATGAGTAATCTTCACTGTCTAAAAATACAGTGGAAAATAGTTTTTAGGCATTTATTTTAGAGCAGACTGTCAAACATCCCATCGAGCCTCTTTTCAGTTGACCGGCAGGTCTCTAAGAGAACAGAAGTCCTTAAAGACTCTGAGTCATGTGACTCAGCAGAGAGACAAACAGCATTGGGTTGATGGCTGAGAGTGAAGAGGTGCTTCATCTGCGCTTTCACCATCATCAGATCATTTGCAGTAACTGAACACAGTAACACTCCAGTTAGAAGAAAAAAAAAGGTGAATCATTTCCAGCCTTTTTTCCAGCCTGAGCAAGATCCATCATATAACTGAGATAAAAAAAAAAGACTTATTAGACTACAAAACTCAATATGAAATATGGTTTTGTGTTAGCTTTAATCAAAAATGGTGATGAGTAAATGTTAGGACAAACTTCTGTGTTAATTCTGCCACTAAAATATGATGATTTGATTTCCAAGTTTTAATGGATATTTTAAAATTCTTCAAATTTGGTGCTAAACAAAACCGTGGAAACGTTTATAGGTTGGGGGTGCAGTAAGTGTGAATTTATGAGCCCTTATGAAGAATATCATAATACAAATAAATGGAGTGAAATGCACACTGGCAGTGCATGTTGTCTTATAAATATGGACATAAAAGTATGCTGTATAATTTGGACAGTTTCAGTACGACTGTAACAATGACAAAACGCTAATCTGCTCTTATTTTGTCAAGGTTTAAGCGGTTGGAAATTTTTTACACAAGTATACAATAACAATGCTGGTTTACATAAGATTTACAAACTCTTTAAAGTCAAAATGTTACTGGAGTTTAAACATATTAGCACTCATTTTTTTTCTATACTTTGTACTTAGATTAGTGCACCATGTGGCATTTATCAGGGGGTGGTGCAGCCCCCCAGACACCCCTCCATCCCACAGCCTTGGGAGAAGATATATAGACTAGAGAAATTACATTTCCTGCGAAAATGCAGAGTGAATGCTTATTGCAGAATAACTTGCTGAAAAACAGCTGAAATTAGCCCCAAAAAAGCATGCTGAAATGTAGCTGAAATGAAAGAACAAGCCTAAATTAGCAGAAGAAAGCAGAAGGAACACAAATTTGCTGAATTAGGTTTAAGTAAGCAGAAACTAGCACAAAAATAGGGAATTAGCTAAAAAAGCTAGAATTAGTAAACAATAGCTGAAAAGTAGCTAAAAAGGCAGAAAGAAGCTGAAATTACCAGAAAAAAGTGGAGCGAGCACATTTTTGCTGAATTAGACTGAAAGAAGTTGACATGAGTGCAAAAAACTGTTGAGATGGCTGGAAAACATATAAAATTAGCATAAAAACAGCTAAATAGTGTCTGAAATAGCTGAATAACTGAAACTTGCAGAAATAAGATGAAAGGAGCATAACAAGCTGAATTTTGCAGAAAGAAGATGGAAGCACAAAAATAGCAGAAAGAACCTGCAAACCTGAAATGAGCACAAAAGAGTTGGAAAAAAAACAGATGAAGTAGCTGGAAAAAAGCTTAAATTTGCACAAGGAAGCTGAACGAAGCTGAAGCAGAACAAAATGTGAAAGGAGCAGTAAAAGGTTGTAAACAGATCTAAAGATTTGATGAATGTAAAATGAGCTCAATTCATTTTCTATGAGGAAAAAAAAAAGGCAGAAAAGGCTAAATATTTAAAAAAGCTGAAGTTGCACCAAAACCAAAAGTTCTAGCAGGATTGTCCTGAAAGAGCTGAATGTTTTGATTTAGGATTTGTTGAAATCGCTGAAAACTGCTGGACGAGAATTGCATCAAAAAATGTACAGAAGAAAAATGGATCACTTATAAACATCCACACAATAAATCAATAAACTGCTCCTTTTTGCTCTGCTCTTTAAATATCTCCACATTCTCATGTGACCAGGAGTGTTGTGTAATCTTTGCAGGCAGAATGACTTCAAATCAAATGATAAACTTATTCACTTCTCGTACAAAAGAAACGCTCCATCGGCTTCTTGGTCCGACCTGATGTTGCTGACGTTTGGCCTACTTCGCTGCGTGTCCCGCTCGTCCTGAACTGACGTCTGGACTGAAGCGCTGAAAGGACGGGTGACGTCTGAGGCTGATAACTGATGAGTAAGACAGTTACTGAAGATAATTCACGAGCAGGCACGAGCTAAAAGCGGGCTTTCATGACGCGGTTACGGCCTCGCGGCATTGCCAATAAATCCCAAGGACTCTGTCGACTGTAACGACCCCCTCTAATGCGCCTGCTGTCAAAATACACGCCGAGGGTCAGACCCTCTCAAGTTGTTTCTTGTAGTTTTCTATAAAATACGAGACTCTTTGAGGCCAGCCAACCAAACATCAGATCAGCTGCTGTGTTATTTAAATCTGTAAATCTTTAAAAGCCTGACGAAGAATTGTATTTAAATAGAACAAAACGGACAAACTAAAATCTATTGATCTTTGGGATAGTTATGCATCTCCTGCTTGTTTAATTTACACTGACATGATCTTTCAAATATGTAACTTGAAGCCCTTTAATATAAATGCCAAAAGCCTTTTTTTTGTTTTGTTCTTATATGTAGATAAAAAAGACTTGTATAAATAATAAAGATGAAGTGTTGGTATGGCTGCCACAGCCAACCAGCCTCAAACAACCCACAAATGGCAATAAATTATACTATTTTACAGATATTGTGCTAAAATTAGGTGTGGCTGTATCTTACGACTCATTCACAACACATCCTCCAAGTGCTGCTGATTGCACAACATTCCTGAGATTTCCAATTTTTTTAAGCTAAACCAATTAAATCTCGAAGTTCCTGGTCTCATAACAACACAAAGAGTGCACTGTTGTTTTTATTGCTTCTGTTCCTAAAATCTTTCAGCTGTAGTTTTATCAAACTGGATGCAACAGCTGCTAAACAGAGCCACAAACGCTACAAAGAGATTATTTATTCATTTAATGAGCGGGACTAATTCTGCACCCATCCTAATCGAAGGAGCTGCAGGCAGCCTTGTTACTGAACGCTCACATTCTGCAACCTCTAAGTTAAGGTAGTACAGGTTAACAACCCCCCCAGGCTGGAAACGGTTAATGCCACTTTTGACCTGGGGAAATGTCACCGTGAAATAATGGTTTCAGATTGAAAGAGTGAAGCACAGTGGCGATTTTAGCCTCATTTTGAGGGTGCTCAAGCATCCCTAAATGTTAACTCAGCACCCTGAAAATAAATAATATATATATATATATATATATATATATATGGGGGCGGTTCTGGGTTTTGGTTCTGCTTATTGCATTTATGATTAAATGCAACAAAATAATCAAATTTAAAAGATAACAGCTCATCGTAATACTTGGTTTATTTACATTATGACTTTAATCACTGGATGTTCGGCCCCAGAGCTGCTGGCTTTCAGAACCTGTGGCTCCTGAGCCGTTTAGTTGAACAGCTGCTTTAGAGGGTGGAATACAGTCGATTCCATTTCCAAAACTTAAACTGAGTCTGGAAAAATGTAAAAGATGGATAAAGTCCTGCGGCTGACCTCATGAGCAGCTGAATACAGCAGTGATAAACAGGAAGTACTGCATGTTCATCTGTATGGGTGTAACTGCAGGTAAATCCTCCATTTTGTGTCATAATTATATTGTATGCTTAATTAAAAAAGGTTAATGCTTAAAGCTAGTTGTGCTTTGTTTTGTGCTTTAAATGTAGACATACTTTATGTTGCAACGTTTGGTTGCATACGTTAAGTCTTCGTTTGTTATGATCAGTTACGCAAAACTGATTTGTACAAAGCGTTTATTAGGTTGTTTAAAGTAAAGCAGAGCGCTACGTCTGTAGCTTCTTAGCTAGCGTGTCTGTATTGCACACCGCTAACTTAGCGCTACTTCTTGTTCTGCCGTGCTCTCCAAAATAGTTAATGAATTAAGTGTTTACTTACAGTGTGAAGGTAAATATAGATGTTTAACAAGCCATTAAAATACACCAGAATGCAGGAAATGGTATCTACTTTAAACTTTTTCTAAATTTTCTGGGGGAGGACCCCCAGAACCCCCCACCAGTGTGTCTCCCCCACATTCTGACGCCAATAGCCACCACATTGTTCAAGCCAAGAGCCATAGTCAACACTGGGGGCTAAGCACCCCCTAAAGGTCAGATTCTAGAATCGCCCCTGGTGAAGCATCAACAAACACAGGAGGGTCTGAGCTCATGTTCTAAAGATGGACGCTAAGAGCATGTTTTAAGAACGAGCTGGACCCGAGGGTTTGGACATGCACACTCGTTCTCTGCTCCTCCTCTACCTGCGGCGCCAGCTCTCCGTTGGTGATGATTTTGGCGATGAGGCTCCACTTGCGGTTACTGGTGGCGTTGTGGATCATCTTCTTCCTCAGCAGCTCGCCCACAGACATGTAGTGGAAGCCGTAGCGCTCGGCGATCTTCAGGCTCTGAGTTCCTTTGCCGCTGCCGGGGCCACCTAAAGAACAGAAGGAGAGCTGCTGATGTTTGTGGGAGATCTTATGCCAAAAGAAATAAGGCTGGTGCTACGGTTGTGTTTATTGGTTTGAAGCATTAGCACAAAATCTCAATAGCCCCCACTGAAGGATGTGCATTCCTTCAAGGGGTGTTTGTTGTTTTATTTATTTACTTTCTGAGCGTGAGTGTAAAAAATGATGTGCACGAGCAAGTGTAGGCAAGTGTGCGTGTAAGTGAGAGAAAACGAGGCTGTGTGAGACTGGGTTTGTGTGTTTGTGTATTAATTTTGTTGCACTTGTGTGTGTGTGTGTGTGTGTGTGTGTGTGTGTGTTTGTGGGGGAGGATGGAATAAAAAACAGGTATGTGTGAACCTCCTACATTTGTTGACAAGAAACCGACTCTTTTCGCTGCATTTCATTAGATGATGCGCAGAGGAGGGACAAGATGCTTCAACACTCTCGTATCTCTGAGACACAGAATTCTGAGCACGAAATGATCATAAATTCATAAAATATGTAAACCTCAGACCCAGATGAAGCTGATGGTTTGAGTGAAACTTCTAGCTAAGTAAAACAAATACACTGATAAATCAAATATGACTTATTACATGAAAGGTGTAAAAAAAAACATGAGATAACCTTGTGAGGGTTGGTGTGTGTTACGCGTCACCTCTGTGCTTCTCCGGCTGCACACCTGCTCTAATCACCCCAGGTGTCCCTCATTGTCAATCACAGGTGTTCCTATTTATTCTGCGTCTTGTCCTCTCCGTCCGTGGATTGTCAACTTTGGCGTCATGCCCTGTCTCCCTCTGTGTCACCTCATCGATAAGATGTAAGTTTTGCTGCCACGTCAGCTGTTGTTTTGTGTAGTTTAAATAAATATGAATTTATTCCTGAGTCCTGCCTGCATTTGGGTTCAAACTAGCAACAGATCATGACAAACATGAACTTAATGCTTTCTTAAAGTAAAAAAAAAGACCTGTGCTTTTTTGTTTTTATTGGACCAAACTGAACGGTGTGAGCGTCCATTTTTTATTTCTGTTTTTAGTAACGATATTTAAAGAGTGTGAAACAGTGAAGAAAACCTGCAAAATCAGAGATCAGAGCCAGAGTTTCTTTATTGTCGTTTGCACCACTCAATAATAGATCAATAATAAATTATCAATAATATCAATAACAGTAATAATAATATATCAGATCAATAATAAATGTTGCACTAGATTAGAAATAGATTTTGAGAGTCAGGTTTGAGTGAGTGAGGGCAGCACGGTGGCACAGTGTGTAGAGCTGCTGCCTCTCAGCGAGCAGGTTACCTTGGTTCAAATCCTGGTCTGGGGGTCTTTCTGGGTGGAGTTTGCATGTTCTCTCCGTGTAGGCCTGTCACGATAATAATTTTTGCTGGGCGATTAATTGTCTCAGAAATTATTGCGATAAACGATAATATTGTGGGAAAATTGACGATAATTAGTAATTATTGTCAAAATTTAAAAAGAAATGTTTATTTGTTTTGCAAGTAATATGTTTTTTGACCACCGGATTGAAGTATAAGACAGTTTGATCTGAATGATGGATAGTGAGGGAGCAAGCAGCGTGTCTCTTTAAGAAAAATGGGAGGGAGGCCCCTTGACGTGACATGGGCTGTCTCTCTTTGGTTTTCAAAATGGCGGATGCTCGGTGTGGTTTGAGCTCTTTAACATAGCATTTGTCACACAAAGCTGTTAATAAAAAAATCAGTAAACAAGTTCTCAGCTTCTTTTTGTAGAGAAAAACAACTTTTTAGACGAAGGCACAGGTTTCAAAGTGAATTTTGTAGCTTCGATAAGACAAAGTTGTTTTTTTTCTCGAGGTCAGCCTGTTAGCTTAGCTCGTAGCTTAGCTAACAGGGGCGGTGTTCAGTGAAGAGCGCCGGAGTTGAACTTTTTGTCATCCAGTGTCTTCAGTAGAAAGAGAGAGATACAAAGAAACAATAAAGCCGATAAATGATAACGAGGTTGATAATGTTAATTTATCATGCAATTAATTGATTTATTGTTTATCACGACAGGCCTATCTCTGCGCATGCGTGGGTTTTCTCTGGGTACTCCAGTTTCCTCCCACAGACTAAAAACATGCAAGTTAGGTTGATTGGTAACTGAATTGTCCCTAGGTGTGAGTGAGAGAGTGAATGGTTGTCTCATTTGTCTCTATGTGTCCCTGTGATGGACTGGAGACCTGTCCAAGGTGTCCCCCGCCTCTCGCACAGTGATGGCTGGACATGGAACATAAACTCCTGCACTGTGCTTTTCTTACTGTATTTTACTTATTCTTACTGTCAGTTTTGTTACTTTCCACATTAATATTATTGGTTTGTGTTTTTAATACATTTAGGTCAGCCTACATTAATGTGCTTTATAAATAAAATTTGAGTGGAGCGGAGTTTGGTCTTTTGCGCGTTACGTGGTGCCGTTTGTCCTCAAATAGGTTTTCTGCAAACTGCATCACATTAATATCCTGAAGCATGCTCAATAATCCAGGTAGAAAAATCTAAAAAAGTTAAGTCTGGTCCTCCTTGATCATGTGAGCAGCTGGTTTTGGTTGTCAGCAGCAAACTGGTTGATCCACTCTGAGAAGGTGCTATTTATAAGACTGAGCTGAATACAGCACCTCAGACTGAGGAAGTCTTTCGGATGAAGACGAAACATTTCTACTTTTTTTGTTTTGTTTTGTTTTTTGAATGTCCAGAGGACCAGACTTAACTTTTTTAGATGCATCACATTAAGTTGGTTATTCACACCTGCCATCAAAAACAAGCTGTTTATTTGTTAATTACTGATTTTACAGCCTTGATAACCAGCTTTACTGTCTTACATATGCCTGCAGCTTGTATCACAACAGCTATGACTGAAAAAAACCCACACTCAAACATCCTTTTTTCCGTAGTTTCTGCAAGGTTGGTGATTTCAGGACAACAAATAACCAAGGCGCCACAAAAAAAAAAAAAAAAAAAATCATTTTGAGCTCACATATATAACCGTGAATTGAATGAAGCAGACTCAGGATTCTTCCAAGAGTCTATCAGGCATTGCAGGACCTGAAAATGAAACTATTGTTGGCAGAAGAGAAAGGAGGAAAGGCTGTGGTGTCCACACCTGTCACATCTAATATCTGCCTGTACCTGCCTGTACAACATGAAGGCAAAATGGAAAATTATTTATTGTAAAGTCTGGCAGATTATACCAGAACCCATTTGTCAAATAGCAAATATTTTATTTGAAATATTTATACTGTAATGGAAATACTGCTGTTAAGAAAATCAGAGGGATAAAAGTAAATGGTAAATGGATATAAGCACCTTTCTACCTTATCAAGATACTCAAAGCTCTTTACACTACAATCTGTGCCTCATTTACCATTCATAGATCTCTACACAGATAATTGAACAAATCATTCTAATGAGACTAATCAGAGCTTTATCACATTCATACACTGATGGGACACACATCAGAGGTAATGAGGGGTTCAGTGTCTTGCCCAGGGACAGCTTGGCATGTGACAGCTGTTGGATTCAAACCCCCAACTCTTGCATTGGAGGACGACTGCTCACTCAGCCACAGGTGCCGATAAAATATGATGAATTTTGTAACCCTTGACCTCTCAACATCTTCCCAAGAGCACGTAACGTCTTCGATGGTCTGTGTCTGCAAACCTGACAGACGAAACACTCCCTGTGATCGTCCACAGAGATGACAGCCGGTGCCATCCTGCTTTCCCTCTTCAAAACCAGGGCACAATGTGCTCACAAAAGAAGCAACAGGCACTGGCTTTGTGCTGCGAGGACAAACATCTATCAGCCACTCCACAGCAAGTCTGAAAATCCCACTGAAAGCAAAACGATGAAAAAAAAAAACCTCTAAAGGATCCAAAAGGGGATAAAATCACTTTCTCGCTTGTTTGTTGACCTTCATGCTCTATTTTAAAGTCATTCTTTAACTGTGTAACTTGATTTATTAAATCAGTTGTGAGGTCCGTGCACATGTCTGATACCGTGTAGAACAAGCCACTAGATCCAGCCTATGGGGTGCCATTTGTAAAGTTACACAGTCAAAAATTAACAGCAGTATTTTAGTTTATTAAGCTTTTCATAAGAAAAAAAATTTTTTTTCAAAGCCATATTTTCACCATGTTATTCCTAACTTTATAAATGTCATAGTTCCAAACTAAATACTTAATTTACAAACTAAATAGTTAGTTTACAAACTAAATACTTAACTTGCAAGTTAAATATTTAGTTAGATGAATATATATAAATATATATATATATATATATATATATATATGTATATATATATATATATTTATATATATATATATATATGTGTGTGTATATGTAAAAAAAATTATATATTAATAAAGTTAGTTAAATATTTAGTTAGCAAGCTAAATATTTATTTTCCAAACTGAACATTTAACTCCCAAATAAATATTTACTTTGATAACTAAATATTTAGCTTGGATCTAAATATTTAACTTGCTAGCTAAATTTTTAGCTTGTTAGCTAAATATTTAACTTGCAATATTTAGCTAATATGCAAATTCCATGCTGAAAAGCGGAAGTGGAATATCAAAATAAAAGCTGAACCTCTATATGTACACCTCTTGCCAAACCGCAAAAAAAAAAAAAAAAGAAGAAGAAGAAGAGTTGCAGCTGGCCAGACTGAATCGCTTCAGTTTTCTCTTATGTACCGTATTTTATCTAAAATACTAAAATATCTAAAAATTTTCTTCTACCTCTGGTGTTTATTGGTGGTTTGGCAAGTGGTGTATAAGTTAGCTAGCAAGCTAAAAACTTAGCTAGCAAGTTAAATATTTAGGTCCGAGCTAAATATTTAGTTAGCAAATTAAATATTTATTTTGGAAATTAAATGTTTAGCTTGGAAAATAAATATTTAGGTCTGAGCTAAATATTTAGTTAGCAAATTAAATATTTATTTTGGAAATTAAATGTTTAGCTTGGAAAATAAATATTTAGGTTCGAGCTAAATATTTAGTTAGCAAATTAAATATTTAGTTTATGAATTAAATGTTTAGCTTAGAAATGAAATGTTTAGTTTGGAAATTTAAATATTTAGCTTGGACAATATATATTTTGTTTGGAAATTAAATGTTTAGTTTTGAAAATAAGCATTTAGCATGGAATAAATTATTTAATTTACACCTAAATATTTAGTTCACTAATATAAATATTTAGCTTGCAAGTTAAATATTTAGTTTGTAAATTAAACATTTAGCTTGGACATAAACATTTACTTTGTAAACTAAATATTTAGCTTGTAAATTAAATATTTAGTTTGGAACAATGACATTTATAAATGTATGACTAGCATGGTGAAAATATGACTTTGTAAAATAAAACCCTATTTTTTTTCTTATGAAAGGTTAAATAAACCAAAAATATTGCTGTTAATTTTTGACTGTGTAACTTTACAAATGGCACCCCATACCAGCCTGCTGATAAAAACAGAAGCACACACATATGCTCTTTGTCACGAGGCGTCTTCCCATCCAGGAAGCAAATTTTTAGATCATCAGCAAAACAAACATTTGGTTTTTTCCCCTTTAACATAAATGAATCGGTTCCTTGTTACTGTCATGCGTACGTGTGGTTTCAGTGTTTGCGTGTGTGAACGGGTCTTTTACCGATGACGAGGATGACTTTGGGTCGTGGTCTGGACGGATCAAACACCTCGTACTCCTCTATGAGCTCGGCCGTCTCCGATAGGTCCGAGTCGCTCTCGATGGAGAACTGGTTGATGGGGGGGAGGCGGTCATAGCGTCTGTAGGGAAAGTTGGGGCTGTCGGGCAGCACTGACGCACAAACAGAAACACAAACAGGGTTAGAAACGAGCGGAAGTCGTTGATGAACGAGGGACTACTTTTTGGTTTTTGTCAGACGCAGGTGTCTTGTAATTGCAGAAATCATTGGGGGGATCAAAAGCAAAAGTTGAGTAAACTGGAGGTTAAAGCACAAGAGCGATGAATTCAAACAGAGCTGCTGCATTTAGGTTGCTAATTATCTTTCTGTCTAGAGTGATTAAAGCATTGATTATAAAGCTTTCACAACATTAACACAGTTACAAGAGATAGAAATCATTGCTGCAAGCCACTCCAGAGGAAACGAGAGCTGCTGCGACTCACTTTTAAAGCCGAAGCAATTTCTTCAGAAAGACGGCTCTGATCCTAAAGTTGCAATGATGACAGTAATGAAGAAAAGAAATGCAATTTTGTGCAAAATGTTCATCAAAGCATACTGAAAGTATGTGCTGTAACTGTTTTTATACACATACATCAAACATGTAGGGAAGTATAGTGAGCAGAGTGCCATTTCATTGGGTTGTGCATCAGCCAGAAGCTACATTTATTAATAATTCTCATCAACATACATTTTCCAGTATCTCAAAAATGAGGATTCAGACATTTTTATCATGCTAGAACATGCAAAGGCAGAAAAATACACATTTCTGGGAACAGACTTCCTGTGGAAATAACCTACATCTATTCATGACTGCTTCTTTTTTATCCGTACGACCTTCTGTGCAGCTTTATGGTGTGAGCGTAGGTAAATTTGTACTCGCTCACGCGCTCGTACGGGAAGTTACTGCCGTCATTATTTAAATGCATCCCAAACAAAAAGTTGAAGCCTTTCATTCACGCACAAGCTCAATGTGAGAAAACAAACGTCACTATAGTGCTGCTGGTGAGGCCGGAGTGGACTTTGCTTTGCAAATTCCAACAGTGTTTTGCATCCGTGGGATTTATTGCATGTGTTGGTTCTGCAGGGAACCACAGCTGGAATCAATAACTGATGGATGACAATAAATTCATATTCACCGTCGTCTCCTGGAACTGCTTGGTGAACGAAGCCCATTTGTCTTAACCGCTGTTATCTGTGCTGCTTTTTAAATGATTTATTATCACTCTCCTCTGAAGTGAAGAGGTGGAGGATACTGTTTTTGATGTGTCTGTGTGAGTTGGTGAATTTAAAAAATGGCAAAAATCGTTCTAACTCTGGGGATTATACAGATACTTTAAGTGCTTATAGATTGCAGAACAGCTTTGTTTTGAATCTTGCCATTGATTATTTGGAGTCAAACCTGTTTGTCTGTTAGCAAAATATCTCTCAAAACACGAGACGGATTTTATTGAAACTTTCAGAAAGTAATTATTAGATGCAAATCTAAAAGCGATAAACATTTGGAGCCAACCCAATTAAAGATGGTTGTCACAGCTCATCAAATTCAGCCAATAAAAAGAATAGTTGTAGCTCAGACAAATTTTTAAAAATTGAGCTAAAATTTGATGTGGTAGTAGCTGAGAGCCATTTGCAACATATTCTGATTGTGGCATCTTGTGATATTATATGTAGGCCTGTCACGATAACAAATGTTGCTGGGCGATTAATTGTCTCAGAAATTATTGGGATAAACGATAATATTGTTTGAAATATGACAATAATTAGTAATTACTGTCAAACTTAAGAAGAAACGTTGGTTAATTTTTGTGTGTAGTAACTTTTTGACCACTGGCAGTATAAGATTGTTTGAACCGAAGGATGAATAGTGAGGGAGCGAGCAGCGTGTCTCGTTAAGAAAACTGGGAGGGAGGTCCCTTGACGTGACATGGGCTGTCTCTCCTTTTTTTTTTTTTTTTTTAAATGGCCGACGCTCGGTGTGGTTTGAGCTCTTTAGCATTTTTCACACAAAGCTTTTAATAAAAATAAAAAAATCAGTAAACAAGTTCTCATTTTCTTTTTGCAGAGAAAAACAACTTTTTACACAAAGGCACGGGTTTCAACTGTGAATTTTGGATCTTTGACAAGACGGAGATTTTTTCCAGAGGTCGGCCTGTTAGCTCATAGCTTAGCTTCTCAGCTTTACCTTTTAACAATCCAAAAACGCGCTCTTGGGCGGTTAAAATGAATTTTAAAGAGAAAGGGAGGGGTCAGAAAGGGAGGGGTCAGAAAGGGAGGGGTCAGAAAGGGAGGGGTCAGTGAAGAGCACCGGCGTTGAGCCTTTTGTCATCAGTAGAAAGAGAGACACGAAGAAACGATAAAACCGCATCACGACAGGTCTAGTTGTATGATAACATCAGAATGTCATGTTTAAGGTTGGAAAACGGCTACAACGTTGTCATTTCTCAGTAAAATGATCTTAGTTTAAAACTGTGGCATGAAAGGCGGTGGGCGACGTCCTCCGTTCGTTTTCAACAGGAAGCAGGTTTCGTGTAAATAAAAGCCTCAAATTGTTGTGGAAGCTCAGGTCTCACTTTAAACACGTTCCAGGAGCGAGAGCGGTGACGCACTCGGCTACGCGTCGCATTAGAGCTGCAAAATGCATCTTGTCTCATTATACCCTACAAGTATTTTTCCTTCCGGTACTTCAAAGAGAAACAACAAAGCTTCAACAGTTCATCTTCAGAAAGGCTCCTTAAGGCTCGCTGCAGACGTCAACACCATCCTCCCTGTTCTAAGACGATGCTGCTTTGGTTTGCAGGACGAAGGATGTGATGGGTTTCTACATTTTTAAGCAATATTGTATATGTGCAGTATATACGGCAAATTTATATTTGTTTATCTGCAAATCTTTGACCTAACTCTTTATTTGAGCTCTGATGTGTTCGGCTGCATCCTCACCGTTTCTGAAGAGGGACCTGCGTGACTGGCCTCCATTGAGGGGGGGCAGAGACTTCTTCTCCTGGCCCACAAACGTATCCCACCGCACTTTGTCCGTCCCTCCGAGCTCCCTGACTTTCTTCAGACAGCCTTCCAGGTACTCGATGGGATCATCGGGTCGGTAGTACATCAGACCGGTCAGCAGGCTCTGAAGGGACACGGGAGGAGTGAGGGAGGAGGTTCTGCATCTCTGTTCAGCTCCTCTGTGGAGCAGCTGCTCAAACTAATGAGGTGAAGATGTGGAAGCTTGTTGCTTTGGGCCCAACACGGGAACCAATCGTCTAATGTTGTCAGAGACGCATGAAATTGGACTCTGTGCAAACAAATTAGAACTGATGACCCCTCATGCTGTTAGAGTCGCAAAGGAAAACCTGCAGCCTGATAAACTTCAACTCCAGGGTGAACTTTGCCCGACCCTTCCTAAAAGTTTCAAAACAGTCCGTTCTTCTGGGACTTCCTTCCTTCACCCAACGCCCAGCAACCCGAACACACTGTACAAAGCACCTGAAAACAACCGGGCGCATTTATGGAAACACTCTTATTAATGAGCAGCAACTGTTGGCAGGAAACGGATCTGTAGAGTTTAAACTAGAACAAAAACTGTTTGCTGCAAAACTGTAGTGAGAATGATGAGAGCTGAACGCCGGCTGAAGCTTGCTGCAGCTAAAACATGCATGTTGGGCCGATTGTATCTAGAAATTGTCCCTAGGTGTGAGTGAGAGACTGAATGATTTTGGTTTTTTTGGTCTCATTTCTCTCTTTTTGTCCTGTGAAGGACTGGAGACCTGTCCAGGGTGTTCCCCGCCGCTCTCACAGTGACTGCTGGATATGGGCACCAGTGACACTTGTGACTTGGAAAGGAAGAAGCGAGAAAAGATGATGGATGGATGCATGGATGGATGGATGGATGGATGGATGGATGGATGGATGGATGGATGGATGGATGGATGGATGGATGGATGGATGGATGGATGGATGGATGGATGATTAGGCTGAAATTGAGTTTTTCAAGCTATAAGAAATAAAACATTAGCTAAAAAGGTAAAAAAGGAAAATACTCACTAAAAGCTAAAAGTAAATATCTAGCTAAAAAGCTAAAAGTAGCAGAGTGGTAACAAAGCACTAGCTAAGTAGCAAAATGTTAGCTAAAAGGTAAAAAAAGAAAAATGCTCACTAAAAAGTAAAAGTAACAGGGCAAAACACTAGCTAGAAGATAAAAGTAGCAAAAGATGCAAAACACTATGTAAAGCTAAAAGTACAAAATGCTAGTTAAAAGATATATTTAACAAATCACTAACTAAAAGTAGCAAAACAGTAAACGCCAAGTTAATCTTGTGCTACAAGAAACTGGCTAAAAGCAACAATAAAAAAAAGCAAAAACCAAATACAATAAACTGTCATCTAAAAGCTATATTGCAGAAAGCTAGCTAAAGGATAACAGTAGCAAAAGACTAGCTAATAAACTAAACAAGTGCAACAGCTAGAAGGTAGAATGGTAGCTAAGTGTAGCAAAATACAAGCTGAAAGTAGCAAAAGGCTACATGCTAAAAATAGCCTATGTTGCGGAAGGAATTAAAGATCTCAGTGGGATTTTATGGAACAATGTTTGAAGTAAAGTTAAATGTGATAAAAAGTTCACAAGTTTAAAAAACTTAATTCATAGCAGCCATCTGCCAAATGAGCTGAATGTTGATTTATGAATAGTAAAAATAAAATGGCACAAAGTATACAGAAGTAGTTATAGGTTAGTCAGCTAAAATCAAATCTTGTTTATGACAACAGGCAGCATAAACACAAACAAACAAATGAGTAAAACATCAGGAGACCATGTAAACAAAACAACAACCGAACAAACATGACGAAACGTGGACAATAAACGACCATAATAACAACCACTGTGAAACGTTTTTAACTAAAAACTTTCTCCCATTCATTATTCCATTTATATCTTATTACATCCATGTCAGACAACTTTTAACAAGTGTTGCATGAGTGAAAAGAAGTGATCTGAATGTAACTGGAGTCATCTTATAATGTCCTGAGATGGTTGTTGTTGGGGATTAAAAACAACTCAAATGAACCACAGCACGTCTTGGCTCAAAATCTATTTACTAGTTGTCACTCAGTTTATTTTGAGAAACGATTTGATTTGGAAACTGGTGCGTGTGATCATAAAATAAAGCAGCAATTAAAACCCTCTTCTTGTTATTGAAGTACTGTGATGATGAGACACCTGCCTCCTGTTTGTCATCTTTCCTCCGACCCTGTGCAGCATCCAACACGCATCCAGCAGTTGTTGCGTCAAGGCCAACATGTGACCGTCATGTCTCACCTCGAACAGCTGAGGGATCTCCCGCCGCGCCAGATACTCCTTGGCGTCGCTCGTGTTCATCTCCGGCGCGTTTCCTCCCAAACACAACTTGTCCAAAGCCTTCTTGTCTCTATGTGTCCTCAGATGTCTCAGTGCCGCGAGGAAAGCTGTGTTTCATCTGACGGATCTTCTATCCGCGCATGTTTCCTCTCCTGCGCGCGCGGACTTCACTGTTGGATTCCTGCAGGCGATTCCACCCTCCTCCTCCTCCTCCTCCTCTTCCTCCTCCTCAGTGAAGATGCGTGGCTCGGCAGTTTTCCCTCCCGCAGAAGCACGCAACAATGCGCGCGCGTGTGTGTTGAAAGTGGCTGCGCGTGTGCCAAAAAGCGCACGCCCCGCCTCCACGTGGCGGTCACTGTTGGCCCTGAATTTGTTTACAGAGTCCATGTGTAATGGAGTGTTTTTACTTTACTCCTCTTGTATCTCTTAAAATGCAAACAATAAACTGACAGAAAATTAGTCTGTTTTATTGTTTTTATGACCTTTTTTTTCTGAAAACCAAGCTCTAAACTACTTTGTACATCATTCAAGCTCAGATCACCTGAACTTAATTGACCTTGATTATATTTAAAACAAAACACTTCATACTGGAGCATTCACAGATGTAAAGCATTAGCATTAACTTTTGTAGACTCTGACTGCAAAATATCTCTGGAACCAACATGTGGCATGGAGGCTGCACAGCTGCAGAAAGAAAAGCTTTGCAGAGAGTGGTGAAGGCTGCACAGAAGATGTTGGAGTCGGTCTCCCCACCATCACAGACATCTACACCTCCAGATGCAGGAAGAGGGCCACCTGCCCAGGTTAGGTGTAAAACACGCATGCTCACCGTGGACGGCCGCCAGGAGTGAACACATGTGGAGACAGCTGGGGCTAATGAATATGGGGAGCAGGTGTGAATGATTAGCATGGTAGGGATGGCTGAGGGGAAGTGGCTGACGACATAAGGAGACGCTGGGAAACTAAAGGCAAAGAATCGCAACGAACAAGAAAACACGAGGAACAACATGACCAAACAAGCCAAACCCCACAGATTATGACAACAACTCTCATTTCTCTTCATAACTTAGACTAAAACTCTGACAAGGAAGGCGGCGGGTGACATGCAGTCCTTCAAGGAATGCTAAAACTTTAGTTATAACTCCTCGTTACTGTCACGTTGGCTTTTGTTTCAGGCTCATCAGGAGGCTGGCGCAAAAAGCTTTGATTCTTAAATCAAATGGGCAGCTGAATTGCTCATCCATCCATCCATCCATCCAACCATTCATCCATTATCTTTACCACATCTCCCTTTTCCTGGTCACAGGGGTCACTGAGCGAGAGGCGGGGTACAAAGGACAGGTCACAAGTTCATCACAGGGCTGAGTTTCTTATTAATCATTTAAAGTCCACGATGACTGAGATTCATTCAGATATAGAGAATGATGGTCGTTGCATCGCATGTTTAAATAGCGTTGCTCACCACGAACAGTTATAAATTGATTATATTTATCCAGTTAGGTGTAGATCTTTTCTTTTCTTAATTTTTTTTTCTTGCGATGCCCTTCACAGACTTCCTGGTCCTGTGATGAGGTCTGCAGAGGCAGAGAGAGGGTTGCAGCAGGTCAAAGAGCAACAGAGATTAAAATGGCCTGTCATGAACTAAAGACTCCCACAGGAGTCAAAGCTAAATGTTGATGATGCTTTTCAAACCAGCCCTTTGCTGTCAATCTTGGAATTACATTAAGAATTTCTTAATGCTTCTCCTTTAGAGCCACTTTGAGAGATTTCAACATTAATATATTTTTTTATCTTTGCGTCCTGCCTTTTTTAATAACAGACGTTCTCACCAACTTAACAGAGAAAATCTGAACAAAAAGCTGTCTGCATCCCTTGCTGCCAAATTTACACTTGAAATTTCTCATCAGGGTGTCTGCTATGATTGACTCTATGATAATTATCTAATAAACCTGCAGTCAGCTGTGAATTATACAAGCACTTCGTAAGGAAGAATTAATTGTCACAAGATAAAAACAGAACAATTCAGAAAAGCATTAATATTTATCTGATTGTTGCAATCCAGTAAGATATTAATTAATAGTAGATGAAAATCTACCACAAAACAGACCCCCCCTCCTTATTTTTTGCAGTTTGTTTTTATATTATCAATGACATGAATAACAGCTAGATAACAGCAAAACATCTGTTGTCGCTGACATAACAAGACACAATCAAAACTGTTCTACAAATCCTTAAAAATCGTCTTTGATCAGTGCGTCTACAAAGTTAAGTTGCACTATATCTGACATTTTATTTATCTTTACTTTGGACTTTAATATTATTTTTTTCCATCACTGAGTGAATTCTGTATGTGTTCATCCACTGATAAGTCATGTATAAGTATGCACAATACCTTTTATAATACATAAATTATTAGCTCAGAGTAAAAGCATCTGATTTAAATGAAAGCACATAAAGACATACAGACATAACAATGCAATTTTTTCAACCTTTCATTCATTTAATTGTTAATTTTTACTAAATTATTTTATAGTACATTAGTTTTCACTTTTACTGATCAGTTTAAACTTTATGCAGTAATGTTTATGCTTTTTCCACTACAAGTCAGTTGCAGCTTTTACTGCACTGTTGAACAAGATAAACTGAAAATGCTCAAAAGATTTCATTTAAATTTCGGACACTAATATAAATTATCTAATTGTATATTGCTCAGATGCAATATACTATGAAGCAAATAAAAAAAACACATTACATTTATATTCACGTGGGCTCTTATTTCCCAGCCCTCAAAAGCTTTTACGTTGAAATTCCTCCTACCGGAAGTGTTTGTTCGGTGAATTTTTACTTCCTTGTTCCACTCGGAGCTCACAGCGTTGCAACATGAAATTATTGTACTTATTTAGCTTTTTCGCAATATTTTTAGTCGCTGACAGCGTTAACGTTGAGGTGAGTTGCTTGATTTTGTGTCAGTTTTGACTTTTCGAGAGTATTTTTTTATTTTTTTTAAATGAAATGACCTAAAACATCGATTTCCTGTTAGCTTAACGTGCTGTCATTTAGCCTGTTTTGGTGCTAAATCCTGACTTCTAAACTTCAAAATTAGCTGGAAACGCTCATATTTGTATATTTTCTCTGTGTGAATTTTCAGAATAGTGTGGGGCAATTCTTCAGCAGCGGCCATACGAATAACTGGGCTGTACTGGTTAGTATTTTATAAATTATATTTGATGGTTAGCGAGGAAACACTTCCGGTTCCGGTTCTAATTATCTGCTGTTTCTCGTTTAAAATAGGTGTGTACCTCCAGATTCTGGTTCAACTACCGACATGTGGCCAATACTTTGTCTGTGTACAGAAGTGTTAAGAGGCTGGGCATCCCTGACAGGTAAACAAGCTCCCAGAGTCATTATTTGGTATTAATTAGTGATATATTACCATTAATGTAAATGAAGCATCAGTGTTAATCTTTAAATATTAAATCATATTGTCTATAAATGCAAAGGTAAGTCAGCCACCCTTATCCAACATGGATTGTTTTAATAACTATCTGAAAAATATCCAACTTCTTACAATGCCAGAATAAGAATCATAATTTTCTTTTATTTACTTTTCATTTTATATGCTTTTTATGATTGTCTGTGCCTCATCTGTGTTGTCTGAAACGGGTCGCTTGCAAATGCGTCCTCGTAGCTCAATGAGACTAACCTGTTTAAATAAAGGTTGAATGAATGAATAAGAATAAGGGAATAAGTTTGCTTTTGTATGTTTTTTTAAGAAACCAAGTATTACAGCATATTTAAAGATGCTGACTGGGTTTGTGGTAAATTATAGTAGACATATTCTTTTATTTGCTGGAGCTTCTGCAGTCTACGTCATGATTAGTGAGTGAAGCAAAGAGAAACTGACCTATTTGTTTTTTTAATGATTTTTAGTAAATTGTTTGTCTTATCATTAATTTAAACGACCATTTAACACTCATCATGTTTGCCTACACGACGTAAGTACTGAATTTTTCTGACTATAAGGCACACCGGATTAAAAGGTGCAATATCAATGAACGGGTCTCTTTTCATACATAAGGTGCACCGGATTGTAAGGCGCATTAAGAGAAACAAAACGGATAAGTCAAACTTTATTCAACTCATTCACAATAACCACATAAAATCGGTTTGAGGTCAGTAAGCACATTCAGAATTAATACATAAGGCACACCGGATTATAAGGCTCACTGTCTATTTTTGAGAAAATTAAAGGCTTTAAAGTGCGCCTTATAGTCCGAAAAATACGGTATTTCATCTATTTACATATTTTACGTGTGGATAATCTGTTTTTCCCTTATTTTTGCCTTTTTTCTTTTTAAGCCATATAGTTTTGATGCTGGCAGATGACATGGCTTGTAACCACAGAAATCCAAAACCGGCCACAGTGTTCAGCCACAAGAACATGGAGCTTAATGTTTATGGAGATGATGTTGAAGTGGACTACAGAGGGTACGAGGTTAGTTCACACTCCTTTGTAGCCTATAAAATTAAAGAATTAACCACACGAAACTTGTAAAATCTAATGTAACTGTTTTATAAAAGTATTTTGCTTGGTTGTCTTGTCACAAGAGCCATTGGACATTATTTAAAACCCTGTTTTTATGACTTTTAGTAGTTTTATTCGTACTTTCTTTCAGTTGTATGACCAGCCTTCCATGGTCTAATTGTACTTCCTGTAATCCATGGAAGATTTTGTTGGTGGATAATATAAACTTGCAGTTTTGTTGATGGTTTGGGTGTCTTGTCTGTCCACAAGAAAATTCTAAGATGAAGGCAGAGCTTTTTTAGATTGGCTTATTATTTATTAATTAATTTATTAACCTTTATTTAACCAGGCAAATCACTTTGAGAACACAGATCTCTTTTGCAAGGGAGGCCTGAGCCTGAAGGCAGACTAACATGCATGTTTTTGGTCTGTGGGAGGAAACCGGAGTACCCGGAGAAAACCTACGCAAGCATGAGAAGAACATGCAAACTCGACCCAGGTCCAACTGGGGACTGAGCCTAGGACCTTCTTGCTGCGAGGCAACAGTGCTAACCACTGAGTCGTTGTGCTGCCAATTTAAATTTAAGCAATTGTGGGTAACTGTAGCAATTATGATGCCAGGATGTGTAAGAAGGGTTAATGATGATGAGAACACAAGAAAAACATGAATGACTTTTTTTTTTTTTTTCTCACTTGACTAAAATCTACCGGTAGTCTAAACTAAAAACAGCATTACTCTTCCGTTTGTTGGGATTCTGCCCTTATCAGTTTCCTAATTGTAGGTTTTAATTCCGTTTAAACAGGTTTGGTGTTTAGAATATTTTGACAGAAGAACGTGTGTTGTTGGCGTTAACTTGCAGCGAAGCCAAGATTCAACTTGTCTGCTGATTCCTCAGATAGAGAACTTTACTAATTGGCTTTTTTATGTATGTGGATGTTTCTGTAAAGTGCCCTGAGACACCTTTGTTGTGATTTGGTACTATATAAATAAACTGAATTGAATTAAACTTAAGTTTTGCATTTTGACAAGATGCTCTCTGAGGACTTGTTAATTCAGTGACTTTTCTGTGTCGACTTCACTTCAGTGCAGTAGGATGACATTTCCTTCTGACGGGTGTAAAAATGTTTAGTTTTAAAATGATTTGGCCTTCACAACTTGAACTACATTTCACTGATGATGCTCTGTTTTTTTTCACAGTTTGCTAGCAGTTTTATGAATAAGCACATCGTGGTGTGCATAACTTTCAGACTGAGCTGTAAAATCTGCTTTTTGTTTGTTTAAGGTGACCGTGGAGAACTTCCTGAGAGTCTTGACTGGACGGCTTCCTCCCAGTACGCCACGCTCCAAGCGCCTCCTCTCTGATGACCGAAGCAACATCCTTATATACTTGACGGGTACTTAAAGAAAACAAATTTAATTTTATTTGGTAAAATTAGCACAAGATCCTCATGAAAAGTCACATGGAAGTAAAGTCCAACCTTTTCAAACTTTGTCTTACATCTTAATCAGACTTCAGTTTTAGGGTAAGGAGTATCACATGAGAGGGATTCAACAATAAATAGACTCAGAGCTCAAATAATCATAAACCAAAGTGACTGCCTAACAAACTATTTTATTTTTAAGACTTTTATTACCTCGTCTGTGTTACAACAGACAGCTGTCGCTCATTTTTCAGACACCTCATGTGTTGAACTGGGTCAGGTTGTTAAAGCTCTTCAATAAAAACATCAAAACTGAAGTCGAAACTCATTCACCAGGTTAACAAACCATTCGTCTGCACCTCCGACATAATTCTGATGCGTCAATAAAGAGAGACATGTCTGTCCTGTTCTTTTGTCTTGGTTTAAGTTTTTTGAGGCAAACCTTGAGAACTGTTGCTCATGTTTGCTGATGGTTCATTCTATTATAAATGCAAGATCTGACCTTTTTTAACATCTCACTAAAACAAAATTAGTTAATTTTCCTAATTTCAACTGGAAGTATTAGACAAAGGACTATTTGATAATTATTCGCTACATTTTCTTCTTGCATAAACTGTTTATGTGAACTTACTGTCGATGAGGAAACGATCTTTAAAAAAAGACTAATTTTATTTTTCAAGTTTCAGGAAATTGCTGAATGACTTGAAGTTGCCTTGAGCTAAAACTACTTTGAGCTGGAAGTTCTTTTTCTTTTCTGCAAACCTGAACCATTCACTGAATATACAGGTTTTGTGATGCGGGCCACCTTAAACAAAGAGCATCAGTTTATATTTCTAAATAAAACATTTTTAATTGAAGGTAGCAGTTTTTATCTCGTTGTCGTCACATCTGTTCAGCTTTTCTCCGCCTTACAGTTTATTCTGTTGTTTTATATGTTGATTTGCAAAGAGAAATTAATTATTGCCATTATGCGCTGTTATATTACATAACAGGTCACGGTGGGAATGGATTTCTGAAGTTCCAGGACTCGGAGGAGATCAGTAATGTGGAACTGGCTGATGCTTTTGAGCAGATGTGGCAGAAGAGAAGGTAAGGAACCTGGAAGTGATTAAACAGAAACGACACATGCATAGTGACGTCGAATCGTATTATTCTTCTGTTGGAGTTGATCTCACTCGGCCTCTCTCCCCCCGAGGACTCATTAGCTGTGTAGCAGCAGAAACTCCTTTTCTGCAGGAAGTTCTCTGATGTTCTGTTGCGCTAAGCTTCAGTGAACTACATCATACACGGTTTTGCTGGCACTGACTTCTAATTACCATCTATGCAGTTTGCAAGTGTTGGCACATTTATTTATGCGGTAATTTTGGTGTTTTTAGTGATTCTGTAAAACACAAGTTACCTTAAAGGGACATTTCTGTTAAATGTGCCCATTTCACAACTACAGATCTCCATTGTCATCACTTTCATTGTTGAATCGTAAAAACAATCGACACTTGTAACAATACACCCCTTAGGGTTTAAACAATTCATGTTTTAATTGTGTGAAGAAGTAGTGCATGTTGATGTTCAAATGGATCTAAAACGATATAGCATTAGAGTTGAACATAAGGCGTGCACTAAATGTTTGATTCAAAGAAACCTTTACAACGGGTTTAGTTTATCTTTCCTGTTGGTAATTTCTACATTTATTGTTTCTATAAACGCATTACTGAGAGGTCATCACTTGGAGCCATGAGGGATCGTGATGGTACTTGTATTTTTCAGTAAATCCTAAATAAAGTTGTTATGAAATTGATCTTAAGCGAATTAGAGCAGTTAGAATGAAATAATTGATATTACAGTTCTTAAACTCTCGATAAAGAGGATTCACACCAGGTTCCTCCGTCAGCTCCTTTACGGTGTCAGTTAGTCCATGAAAAGCTGAAGATGCAGTGACATCTAGGGGGACATTTGCAACCATTTGAAAGCTGTCGGCTCTCAATGCTTTTCATCTGTAAAACTCATTTTTCAACACTCGTATACGTTGGTTACGTTTTAAATTGGGTAATCCAGGTTAACTGTTTCCCACCTGGATTTAATGCTCGTAGGGATTCGGTGAAGTTATTTTATTATATGGTCATTGTTGAAAGCATATTATAGCCAAGACTGATGCCCTCAGCTCTGTTCCCCCTGCAATAAAATAAATCTACTATTCAGTTACTGTAATTTGATAGGAAAGAAAAAGCAGCTAATATAATGGTGTTAGTATGATTAACTAATAAATCAATGCACTAATTATTTCTGCTCCAACTGTCTTGTAACACTGGGGAGTACTGATATGAGTCGCAATCATCGAGCTGCGTAATTAGGCTTTATTGTCCCTGGCGATTGTCATCGGTTATCATAATTTGGCAAGTATGAGCATAAACCAGGTCACAACCTGGATTTAACGTGTTATGAAGAGCTAAGATACTTCTACTTATGAAATATTAATAATGAAGTTTTAATATACAGTGTAATTTAGTTTGTTAACAGGTTCTTGACCTATTTCACTCATGCTCCACATCATATGCTCCTGTAACAGCAGGGGCACGGGCGTTGCACACATTTCAACCTAAATTCATCAAATATTACTTTGTAAAGTATTTATTTTGAATGTGCTCCTCTGTAATTGTGATTTATAAATAATAAATCGGTAAACGTGTGCATCTTTCTGCTCTTCATCATCAGAATGTTCCTCTGCCGTATTCAGGCTGCAGGTTGCCTGATAAAAGCTCAACGTCAGCTTCGATGCTGATGTGATAATTGCACGCTTGAAATGCTAATAAAACAACAACAAAACCTTTTTAAAATGTTTTTTTTTTTTTTTTTACTGTCAAACCAACTTGACTTGATGTATTTAATTTTTAACGGATGTCTAAACAAGTTGTTTTATAGAGGAGGGAAAGAGCATGAGGATGGAGGTGAAAATGTGTGTAGGAGTGTCGCTGAATGGAGCTGTTGCTTCTACTGGGTTGCCATGGTAACTGCAGTATGAAAGATGGTTGGAAGGTTTGTGTGATAACGGCTTTATTGGAACAAATGGATAAGTGTAAGGCCAGCTGTGTTTCTTCTGATTGGTTTTATTTGAAGATGTGTGTGATTACTTTGTGTGTGCGTGTGTGTTCAGGTACAATGAGCTGCTCTTCATCATTGACACCTGTCAGGGCGCCTCCATGTACGAGAGGTTTTACTCTCCAAACATCATGGCTCTGGCCAGCAGTCAGGTTGGGGAAGACTCCCTGTCGGTGAGTTATTTTATCCTTCATCATTTATGCAAACGTTAATTTAGGTCCAGCAGTTTCACTGGTTTTCTGTTGAACACGCAACTAAAGACATAGTTGAAACTTCTTAAAGCAGGAGTGTCCACACTTTTTCAGCATGCGAGCTCTTTTTAAAATGACCAAGTCAAAGTGATCTACCTACTATCAGGCCACATTTACACAATTCAATTCAGTTTATTTAAATAGCACCAAATCACAACAAAGTTGTCTCAGGGCACTTTACAGGAACATTCACATACATAGAAAAGCCAATTAGTAAAGTTCTCTATCTAAGGAATCCAGCAGACAAGTTGAATCTTCACATCAGCATTTTGGATCAACTGAAGACGTTTTAAAGAAGTATTTGGACACCCAGATAATAAAACATTGCAATAGTCCAGTCTAGACGTGACAAATGCATGAACCAGTTTCTCTGCATCATTTTTAGATAAGAAGTTTCTAATTTTAGCAAGAACATGAGAACAACCTCTGGAAACATTAGTGATTTTTCAATGTAAATAAAAAATTTGCGGGTTTACACGAAAAACACTAGTTTCCATGTCCGTCAGGTTGCCAGATAAGAAATTATGAACCTTAGTACCGTGGCTTTAAAATTATAGTATTTTGACCTAAACTGTCGTATGTGCTGAGTAAAGATATTCTAAGATGAAGTGTGCATTGTGTTTGTTGAACATGTACACAGAAAAGGAGGGGGTAAATAAGACATTTTACATTTATCTGGCAACCTTTATTGCACATGAAGCATCTACATGATCACAGTTATGTCCAAACTGGTGAAACACGAACGTCTCTTTGGACCCTGGATTTTATCAGTTGTGCTCATAGAGGCTGAGAAAGGGTGAGCAGCATGAAAAACACTTTTATTCACGTTTATTATCGCTGCTGTTAGTGCAGAAAAACTTTGGACTGCAGCCGTCTGTAGTGCACGTTAGACTTCACACTTGGAGCATTTTACACCTCCATGGCGGATTCCCCCCAAAATCTTCACTCTGAGACCTGGATTCAGAAACCTTCGGTTTCAGGGAGAATGAGGCTGTTGTCGAGTGAATGAACGACCGAACGTTTCACGTCGTGTAAACGAGGCCTCAGAGCGGCTGCCCTGTAGAAAAATAAAGTAACAAATTTCATAGTGAGGCTGACGTCTATTTTTTAATGCCAGGCCATCTGCCCGTAATACCTTTGCAATCAACGTATTGGGCACCCCGTCTTAAAGCCTCAGTGAACGCTTCTTACAAAAACAGTTTTTATGTTCATGCTCTCTGTGTTTCAGTTTTAAAAATGACAGGAAAAGTGTAAAAAATGAGCCACGTAGGGTTAGTTTGAAAGTTTTCACGATTTCCTTCCACAATGCATTTAGATCAAACAACTGTATTTAACTTTAAGTGTTTTGATTTTTGTCAATTAACAGCCAACCTCATGTAGTTATTGTCATTTTTGTGGTTGCCAAATAATAAAAGCAATTTGCCTGTGGGTTTGTCAACAATAAATAATATGTATGATGCTTTAGTGATTATTTCAGTTGATTTTTATTTATTTTTATTAAAGATAAGTGGCACCTTTCATTAGTTGAGTTTAAATTTAAATCTGCATGTTTGGCTTTTAATCATAGTGAGGCTGACACCTATTTTTTAATGCCATGTCATCTTCCCGCTATGACTTTTTGATCGACGTATTGGGCTCCGGAAGGGTACAGGGAGCTGTTAAAGCCTCATAATTAATTCATTTTATTTATTTATTGTAATAAATGATGACAATATTTGCTAGTAGTTTCAAATGGACAGAAAAAAAAAAGTCTGTTCCACTGATTTGACAAAAAACACGATTATCAGCTTTTTATTTACTAAAAGTTATACAGGGTCTTTGAAAACGGTCAGACTTTTTATTTTCATATCTATTATTTGCAGTGTATACATCATAATGCACAAAACGATGCGTTTAGTTTGTAATTTATCAATTGATATACCGTATATATTTTTTTTTTCATTGTGGGCCAAAGTAAATATTTCTTGTGAACACACCTAAAAACCCTGATGTTTGATGATTAGAGCTAAAAGACGCACATAAGTAAAACTCAACTAATAAATCAACATTGGCTTCCATCCAGGTTTCTTTCAGGACTCTTGTCCAAAATGGCGCTTAGATTATTGACGTAAATGTGCTACAACTGTTAATTTGTAAGTATTAAAAGCAAAAGTTTGCTCACAGATTTGCTGTGTCAATGCAATACTTTTACTTAACCTTCATTACTTCAAGAATGTGACTTTTTGTTCAAAATGATCTTAATCTTTAACAGCTGCACACACATCTGCAGGTTGAAAACAAATACACACTGAAAGCTTCTGCAGGTTTTGTTTTTCCTCCACATTGCATGACATCACCGATCGACTGATCGTTACACACGTTGCCTCGCTCGTCTGAGGGCGAGGTTCACAAGGAGACACAAAAGTGGCACCGACTTATCTTCTGTCATAGTTAGGGCAGTAATAAGATTTTCCACATGAAGCCACGTCTGTTTAAACTGTGAACTCTTACACTATTTTTTCTTTGTGATCGATCTATAAGAAATAAAGCACAACTGTTTTGATGATGTTGACTCTACGTTGTCTGAAATGGGAGAGCTGTGGTTATTTTAGCCCAAGCTAGTTTTTTCCCTGAAGCAAACGAGATGTCAAACTTTATTTTTGCTCATTTCTGATCTTTTTTATTTCCTGTTTGTTTGTAGCACCAGCCAGATTTGGCTATAGGAGTCCATCTGATGGACCGTTACACCTTCTACCTGCTGGAGTTCCTGGAAGACATCCACCCTGCGAGCAAAGCTAACATGAACGATCTGGTGAGGATGCATTTGCTTTATAGGTGTTGCAGTTAAAGTCTCATTGTATTTAAATTAGCAGAGTTCAACACATTCGCATTTCAAATAAAAACAGAGTTCACAGTATTACATCTGCAGTGCACACTAAAATGAAAAAGCTTTTTTTTTGCATTTTGGACCCTAAAGTAACGGCTTATATGCAGCATGCTTCTGTTTTTAGTGGACTGTGATGGAATGACTCGGTACAATTAAAAATATTCTGAGATTTGTAATAAAAAAAACATATTCATTCACCTTCTCTGTCAGAGCGCATAAAGTTCAGGTGCAGAAGGAGTCAGATAAAAGTCACACAGGCCTCCCTGGACCTGTGCACACTTGAAACAGAATGTGTAAAACTGTGTCGTGGCCGTTTTGCCTTTGACACATGACTGTGAGATGGTGGGTACATGCCGCTCTGGCTCTTGTTTCATCACCGCCTCCCTTTTCATCTTTTCCACTCCTGCAGAGCCCGTTCTTCATCTGCAGCACCAGGAGTTTCACTCCAGTCCTCACTCGGAGCTCTAACACTAATTACACGTTTCATCTCTCTGGTTTCTGTTGATGCACTCTTTGTTCTGGTTCTATTTTGTGCAATTAAGGATCAATACTATTGATTTCTTGAACAACCACTTTTTAAATGCAGTCTGAAAAGGCTTTCTTTTCTTTCATTTTTTTGGGCAGTTGTGCATTTTATTAAGTTATTTTTGTCTTAACGGATGATATTTTAGTTGGGTTAATTATATATTTTCAAAAAGAAACAAATTGGGGAAAAGACTAATGAGGAGGTGCTTGAAACAGCAGTGAAGGCTACTTATGGGACAGATCTGGATGGCAGGCCACAGACTGATGAAGTCTTCTGGATGGAAGACAAAATGTTTCTCCCTTAAAGGAACTGGTCCAGATGATATGATTTAACCTATTTTGCTGTTATCTACCTGGATGATTGAGCCTACAAAACTTTTTTTCTACTAATGAGCGTAGTTTTAACAGGTATAAACCCCAAACTTCAAAAGGTTCACTGCAGATACAAACATCTTATTTTTGACATTAAAGCCGTTTTAGTCATTTGGCGCTGCTGGCTAGCGTTTGCTGCCCACCTGAACCGTTTATCTAAATGCAGATAAATTCCTGCTTTTCCTGTTAATGATTACTTCAGATAAAACTCCATGTATAACCATTTTAAAAGTATTTTCTTGTCTTTATACGCCTGTTGAAAGACGGACGTATTATTGTCGTATTACTGTCCTTGTGTACGTTCATAAAGCTTCTCCTGTCCAGATCATAACTTCTGATCTCCATCCATCCATTCGTCCGTCATTCCGCTTGTTCCCAAGTCGGGTCGCGGGGGCAGCAGTTTGAGCAGGGAGGCCCAGACATCTCTTTCCACAGCCACCTCTTCCAGCTCTTCTGGGAGGATTCCAAGGTGTTCCCAGGTCAACAGAGAGACAGAAAAATGAACTTCTCACCCTCTCTCTAAGGGAGAGTCCAGCTGCCCTGCGGAGAAAACTCATTTCAACCGCCTGTATCCACCATCTCAATCTTTTGGTCACTACCCAGAGTTCATGACCATAGGTGAGGGTAGGAACATAGATCGACCGGTAAACGGAGAGCTTTGCCTTACAGCTCAGCTCTCTCTTCACAACAACGGACCGGTACAGAGTCCACAATACTGCAGCTGCTGCACCAATCCGTCTGTCGATCTCGCGCTCCATTCTTCCCTCACTCATGAACAAAATCCCGAATACTTGAACTCCTCCACTTGAGGCAGAACCTCACCCTCGACCTGAAGAGAGCAGTCCACCCTTTTCCGATTGAGGACCATGGCCTCAGATTTGGAGATGCCGATTCTCATCTCGGTCGCTTCACACTCGGCTGCGAACCGCTCCAGTGAGAGCTGAAGTTCACGGCACGATGACGTCAACAGGACCACATCATCTCCAAAGAGCAGAGATGGAATCCTGAGGCACATCCGGAAACCCTCAGCCCCCTGACTGCACCGTGAAATTCTGTCCATGAAAGTTATGAACAGAATCTGTGACAACAGACAGCCCTGGTGGAGTCCAACTCCCACCCTGAAGGGCTCCGACTTACTACTGGCAATGTGAACCAAACTCTCGCACCGCCTGTATATGGACCGAACAGACTGTAGCAACGAGCCCCCAATCCCATACTTGTGGAGCACCCCCCACAGTGTATTTTAAGGAACACGGTCGAATGCTTTCTCCAAGTCCACAAAACACATGTAGACTGGATGGGCAAACTCCCATGACCCTTCGAGGATCCTAGTGAGGGTAAAGAGCTGATCCAGTGGTCCACGGTCAGGACGGAACCCTCATTGTTCCTCCTGAATCTGAGGTTCAACCAACGATCGGACTCGCTTCTCTGAACAGACGTCTGATCTGCTCAAGATAATTTAAAAACTTGTACCCTTCAGCTTTATTTCCCCCTACTTGACACAATCCGGTGCAATCACCGAACGAAATGTCACAAACGTTTATCGCCGTGTATTTTCCAGTTGTGATCATTCGTTACGTGCCGGTGGTCGTGTGAACGGGGTGATCTGCAGTGGTCCAACATGAACCTCTGGGTGTTTTGTGTTGGTAATGTGATAAATGTTGCTGCTGTGAGGTCACAAAACTAAAGTTAAACACAAAAAGCAACAACTCGCAAATATTTATGTCTTCATTTCATTAAAATGTGCTCTACTCTTGTTTGTGGTTAAAGCGTTTAGTTTCTAATGCACAGTTTGTGCTTTCTTTGCTTCTTCAGTTTAAAGTTTGTCCCAAGAGTCAGTGCGTGTCCACCCCGGGCCATCGCACCGATCTGTTTCAGAGGGATCCTGGAAGCGTTCTCATCACAGATTTCTTCGGTAGCGTCCGAAAGGTTGAGATCACCACGGCCGCCGTAAACTTAACTGACCCCGTTGAGCAGCAAGAGGAGAGGTAAGCAGAAGCTGAAACTTTCTCATTTACTTGGCTGCATTTATTTATTAAAATCTTAATATAACAAGTAAGTTTTAAAAGTAAAGTTTAGATTGGCAGCTTCTCTTGTGTTTTATTGGTTTGAATCTTTAAATTTATCCAAATTCAAAAGTGACCTCATCTCTCTGGAACAGTCTGTTAATGTGCTTTTTTTTTTTTTTTTACAACGCTTTAGAAAACTGACCGTCATTCCAAATATATTTATTTAATTTACTGTATGTGAAGAGCAACGGCATAAACACATTTCAGTGCAAAAAAACAAGTCAGTAAAAACATTGGTTGAAAAGTTCTAACGAGCAAACTTTTCGTGCTTTTGGAAGTGGGACAACCTGGATTAAAAAAAAAAAAAAAAAACGCTTCATTAAGGTCAGCCTCCCCGAGCTTTAATTGAAGTGCCATGGGCCAAATTCGTTTTATGTTTAGCTCCCATCTATTAAGACTTTGATTTCAGTTTAGGACACGTATTGATTTCTCCACTAATGATGTGGCCTGTTTCTGGGGTGCGGGTGGGGGTGGGTGGGGGTAAACCACTCGGTGGGTTTGTCTAAAGCTACCATGTGAGTAATTTACGCCCTGATTTTTAATTTTCCACGCTGACATGGTTGTTTGATGTAATTAAACATGTTAGATTGTATTTGCAGCATTTATAATCCGTAAAACAACTAAAGGTTGTTGATAAATACTTATTTGGCTTTAAGCTGCAACTCTCACTTTGCTCTGGATTGGCTACGACGCCCCCTCCTGGTCGAATGCATGCATGTAGATTCAGTTTAATAATCTCACAGCTGTGATAAATAGACTGAGCCACTAGATGGCTGTCCATCCATCCATTATTGTGACCGCTTCCTTTTCGGGTCCTGTGGCATCTAGAGAGCATTCACAGGTGAAAAGACATTTTTGTTTTACAGGCCTCCTGAATGTATACTCTGTGTAAAATCCTACACGAGTAAATTATTGTATGTTCAATCAAGATGTGAAATTCTGAACAGAGTTTAGTTTACTGCACTTCGTTTTTTAAAAAGATTTAGTGGAAATTAAAGCTTCAAGATCAAGTTCAAATTAGTTTATTGTGGGACTAGAGACCGTATAATGAAAGTCCTATTCTATGCATCTTCCTGTAACTTTTATCATGAAATAAATAAAAGGTAAACTGGCAGAATAAACAAGGTATATATTTTTATAAGAGTAGATCATAGGGTTGAATATTGGAAAAAAGTAGTAAACCTTTTGCAGGTAGCTGCAAATGGGGATTGTGAATTGTGGAAATGTACCTAGATGTTAGGTTGTTTATATGTTATATGCAGGTTAACACAAAGTCAACAATACAATGAAATGTCCAGGGTGAGAAGAACCGATTTGATTCGGTAATGCATAGATAATTACAACACAAGAAAAATGAAAGACAGCGGTCCAGTATGAGATGCAAAAATAAAAGCAACAAAGAAAACAACGTTCAATCAATTGTGTAATAAAACAAATCTCTATACTGTATTCCAAAAAAGTACTCTGTGATTTGTGCAGCATTTCATCTGTGCGTTTGACTTTTATTGTGTCATTAATCTGGGGTTAATTGGAACTCGAAGGCATCAAAGAATATAATGTGACTGGCTATTTATCAGAGGCGCTTCCACTCATGAGATGTTTTGGCCTCGAGCTTGTTAGCCATTGCACACAACTTCCCCCATTACTTTCTTATTGATTAGCAGCAACGCATTAGGCCTGCCACGTCACGGAGGCGCACCAGAATTGATTTCGAGTCAGCAGCTGCTCCAGTTCAGTCATAGAGAGACGTTTGATCTCCACTTCTGATGCAAGAATCCAGCAATTCCCCCCCCCCCCCCCCCCGGATTCATTTTGGAGCAAAGTTTACTGAAGCTCACCAGGGACCTGCAGCCTCCCTCCACATCAATGAGTTCAAACTCCTACAGTTGTAATTTTAGGGAACTTGGCCGTCTATAAGCTCAATCAGTGTTTATAAATGGAGAGAAGAGTCTTTTCAGTGTTTCTGATGTCTGCACTCTCATTGATAAATTTAAAAACGTGGTGCACAAGTTTATTCTAAATAGAAGCCATGGTTACTTAAATTACCAAACCATTAAAACTAATTGAATCTCTAACATTAGGGTTATTGACTCGCTGATAATTTTATTGCTTGCACAGACAATTACTGAATTAATAAATTAAATATTCTGAACATTAGAGCGGCTAGTTTGAAATATGTAAAATGTTAATGCAATCATAATTAGGCCATATAAATGCAGGATTGCGTGTTGAAGAAAAATTAAACTGAGCGTTTTGTAATCTCATGAGGTCTTTTTCTTTTTGACGAAAGACAATTTTTACTCTCAAAACCTGGGCTGAGTTTATCGTGAGATCTTTGTTGAGTACCTCGCTTCACTGAACCTGCAGCAAAGAGAAACGAGAAGCCCTGAGCATCTTACCCACCGGTTGGTCAGCTCTGATGCACTTTTAGCAAGTATGCTTTAAAAACAGCTTTCGTTTTTGGGTTTAAATTGATGATGAAATCCAGCTCGTGTTGAGCGAACACTGTAAGAAGAAAGGTGAATCGTGGTTCGAGTCGTGCTTTTGTTCGCAACAGAAGTCTTCCTAGTGGGGAAAGTTGAGCACAAAATTAACGAGATATTTTAGTGAAAATCAACAAATGGTTTGTTTAAATCAATGACGTCCAATCCTGGTCCTCGAGGACTAATATTCTGCATGTTTTACTTGTTTCTCTGCTCTGAAACATTTGATTCAATGACTGAATTACCTCCTCGTGTTCTGCAGAAGTCTGTTAATCACCTTTCATTCACATCCGGTGTGTTGGAGCTGAGAAACCTCTAAAACATGCAGGATAGAGCTCCAGGACCAGGATTGGACACCCCCTTTCTTAACTTTAGCAACAAAGTTGTTAAGCTTTCACATATTTAGGGTCGGGGACACATTAAAATGTGGCTACGGTTGTTTCATCAGAAGGAAACGGTTCTGTTGGTGTTCTGTCTTGAGGATTATGTCGGACAAGAACAATCGCTGATGCCCAAACTTCACATGAAATTCTGCGTCAGAGCTCAGAGGAATTCTGCTCCAGGAGAAAACGGACCTTCTGTAAAGTGCACGTGTGTGTAATTTAATTTTTTTAAAGTTCATCCTTCTACAGGTATTGTTTATTATTAAACTCTTTATATAAGTTTTTCCTCTGAATACCAAGGCTCAAAACCAACTGCTAAATATCAACAATTGCATATTTTGGAGACTAAAATTTACCCGGTGGAGTTATTCTGTTATTTAGGTTGCGAGTGCTAAGATCAAAAGTTAGGTTTGATTTAATAGGTCGTCTTATTTTGTGGTTATCGAGTAACTTTCCATTTTGTGCAGTTCACCAAGGCTGAAAAGTCTAAAATTGATGCATCAAGAAACAAAATACAAACGAAACGTCATCTGTCATTTTTCTCTTATAGTTTGAAAAGGAGCAAAGTTTGATTTGTCTGTACTTGGTAGATTTTTATTTTTTATTAGCACTATTTAGCACTTTAAGATTTTTGTTAATGAAAAGTGTGTTACAAATTAATTTATTATTATTATTATTAATATATTTTGTGTTCTAACTTTGAAACATTGTTGAACGCTTGGTTTATCTTTTCGTCTCTTACTCTTTCTGTGGCAACTAGCTCAGCCTGGTTTTCACTTTCCTTCGGGAAGAATTAAGTTCACAGTTTTTTCATCAAGTTAGACAACTGGACTGAGTTTCAGAATAAAAGCGCTTTTCTTTCAATTCAAGTCAGTGTATTTATAAAGCGCCTAATCACAACAGAAGTCGTCTCGGGGCACTGATCAAAAACATTCACGTACATACAAAAGCCAGTTAGTAAAGTTCTCGATCTAAGGAAGCAGCAGACTCGTTGAGTTTTCACTTTGTTGCAGTCTCACATCCTGAGCAAGCACAAAGGAGACAGTGGAGAGGAAAAACTCCCTTGAACAGGAAGAAACCTCCAGCAGAGCAGGCTCAGGACGAGCTGCTTCGATCGGTTGGGTTTGAGAGGACAGGAAGGAGAAATAAACGAACACAGAACGACAGGTCTGATGTAGGTGCAGGTGTACCTCCTATTGGAAGAAAAACAAACAAACATTTCAAGGAAAGAAAAAACTACAAATACAAAACAGATAGAGTAAAGACAGCAGCAGAGAGAAGAAATGTGGTCAGTTTGTCCTCCAGCAATCTAAGCCTATAGCAGCATAACTAAGGAAACCCAAGCCAACCCTAACTATAGGGTTTATCAAAAAGGAAAATCTTGAGCCTAATCTTAAAAGTAGACAATGTGTCACTTCATGGACAGAAACTGGAAGTTGGTTCCACAAGAGAGGAGCCTGATAACTGAAATATCTTCCTCCCATTCTGCTTTTGGAAACTCTAGGAACCACAAGTAAACCTGCAGTCTTTGCCAGTTACATTGAGCCTGTTTGAATAATGTAATCCATATAGATGTAAAACGTCTGCTGGTTTCAGCTCATCAGATGTGAGAATTTACTCATTTTTATTGGGGTTTAATATTTAAAGTAGAGTTGGACACAGTTCAGCTTTAATCCGTCCTCAGATCATTTCTCTGTGCATGCTTTGTAATGCAGTCTAGGTAAGTAAAGGTTAGATTTCCATGATCTTTTTTCTTTTCTTTTCTGGATTTCTTATCATAACCGCTCAGCCCAGCTTATGCTTGTTCCTCCGTGTTGTGGCGAATCGCCTCCTCTGCACCATTTTTTAAAAACCGCTAAAGTCTACCTAGGGTTAGCTTGCATAGCTTCTTTCCATCCTCGCTGATGGCTGCTGCACTGTAGTTAAACGCTGTGAACCGTTATTTTTAGATGTGGCGGTACCATGTTATCTTCAAAGGTTCATGTTCAACTGAAACGATAAAAAGAAAGCAGTTATTTCTTTTCTTTTTTTTTTTTTACACCGACTATGAATA